CTCTCTCTCTCTCTCTCTCTCTCTCTCTCTCTCTCTCTCTGTCTCTCTCTCTCACACACACACACACACACACACACACAATTAAAAGAAAAATATTCAAGATTTAGATTGATATTCATTTTAAAATTGAAACAAAAGTTTCCCTCTAACTATTGAATGGCAAAAACTGCAAAAGGGAGTTAAAAATGGATATTTTTTCCAAGTGTAAAATTGAGACAATTATTCTGATTAAACATTTAGACATATGTATAGTAAGTCTCAAATGTATACATACTACTATTAGAAATGTTTTCCTTGGCAGGAAAAATCAGATAATTATATCCTAAATGCAGAATGAAAGCTGTAGTGTCCAGGTTTCTGAGGTGAATTTCTGGCTTTGGAAAGATTCTTGGTTCCTTTGAAGGAAGTAACTGCCCCTGAAACTTCCATGAGATGGCCAAGCTCAAGGGAAGCTCAAGCCTCACTGCTATATTAGTTCTGAACCAAGCAATGGGGTCTAGAGTGATAGAATGAGCATTTGACCCTCTGGAAGAGTTTATAAGAACAATTTCTGAGTTTATACCAGTCCTTGCTAGAAATGTAAGCTTCTGAAGACATCTGTTAATAACTGTGCTTATCTCCTTACCTTGCAGCTACTGTGTACATTCACTGAACTAACCAGTCTTCTCATAGCTTCCAAACCCTCAGCCTACTCTGTTTATCATAGAGGCCAATACTTGGGAGAAAGTTGACCATCTCTCAGGTACTCCCAATCCCTGCCCAGTCCTCTGGTCAGTGATCAGGCCTGAGAAGCTGGATCCAGGAGGATAAAGAAATCTGTGTATTTCTCTGAAAAGACAGTTGAACCCTGTGCTAGAGCCATCCAGATGTATCTTGAGTTTTCAACTATTTCTCAGGGCCTGAAATCACATTAGTCTCACCTTGGACAAACTGAAGCTGCCTCTGTTCTTTTGTCTTCTGTTTACTCTATTACCTGATTTACAAATTCAGGATACTATGAATTTGGACTTCATGAGTCTAGGATGAACATTATTGATTTATCCCTTCAGAATTCCTACACCATTCAAATGAAAATCATTCCTCCTTATGAAAGCTATTTGTGCATG